GGAGCCCCAGCCTCTCCGGCGGAGCTTCTCCTTTCAACTACCAGAAACTGAGCCAAATCGCAGCAGCAACCCCCGTCTGAGGGTTTGAGAAATACTGCAGAGAAGTTCAGTCAACAGCGGTGTGGTTGAGAATTCTTCATAGGTTATATAGTATATCATATTTTATCAAATCATTCCAATGATGTACCGTAATGAATGTATCTGGAAAATTCCTAGATCTGGCTTGTCTTATATTATTACAAAGACAGAACCTTTCCCTTTTCTCGTCTTCTTGAGCTGAAACTGTGGGTTACTTGAAATGGGTTGACTCTGCAAACATGATGGTCTATCTCAATTAATCAGATACGGTAAAATAAAATAAAATCTTAAATAGGAAAGATTCAATATATATGCTGTCTTACCCTCTTCCCAAAATCCAACACTATAAATAGGCTCCGTATCTTATCAAAACAAAACAAACAAGCACACTTGAGTTCTCTCATGCTGTGTCATTCTGACAAACAAGCATGAGCTACTAGATCCAGTCACTAATATCAGGGGATTTGGGGCGAATATGACAGTGTACGAGCAATAGATCAAATGTCTACGTAATGGTCAGGAGAGCGAAAAGGCTTTATCACAGCTGGGGTGTAAACCAGGTAATGTAATGTCTATCCATCTAGTGCAACTAGAACAACAAGGGACTGGGTTTTTTACTCTGTTGGGGTTTGGGGTCGTTAACTCGCACACCTTTTTTTTTAATCTGCTAGTGCTAAGATCTACAACTTGTATGATTAGTTAGCCAGCCTGCTAGTTTATGTCAACCTATTTAAGCTTAAAAAAAGTATTTAGCGCAGCTTACTCTTAATAAATGAGCCTCATGGGTCTTCCCAGCATAAAGAAAGGCCGTAATACATCAGTAATAAGGTTACTCACTTGACTTCACTTAGAGATGTAGTCTTTTAAGACACCATTGTTGGTCTCTTGCTCAGCATGCCTCCGCCAGTTCTCCACAGCTCTATGGATTGTAGCTTTAGCCTCGCGAATTTCCTGGGCCGAGAACTTGTGTTCTATGATCCCTAATGGTCCAGGCTGCAGAACATTGATCACAGTTTCCGCCTCTTGCTCAAGCTGCCTGTAAGACAAGGGACTTAGAAATTTTCAGTATTTCATAGAAACATAGAAAGATGAACCCAACCAAGCCCTAAGTATATTCAAGCCATGAAACCGACTAATTTCAAGACCAAATGCCAACAAATCATACGGACAATGTGCTCGAATTCATCAATCAACATAGAACGGTAGTAGTCTTTTGGCCATGCCTGGAAAGAGAAATCCATCCATCCGAAGGAAACAATCTAAGAATCTAGACCCCAGTTGAGCAAGGCCAACTCTCTCACCCACACAAATCAAAATACAGAAAACAGCAAAAGAGGCGTTCATCTACAGAAAACAGTTAACTGAAATTCGATGGAAACAGAACCCTTAAGAAAAGAGAGACACGAAAGACGAACCTGAAGAACCTCGAGAAGGGAAAGGCATTTGCAATCCTGAATCTCGACATCGTCGCGAGAACAGGAAGGACTCGGAGAAACAATCACCGGAGGGACAAAAACTGAAAAGGGAAGAAACAAATAAAAAAAAAGGATACACAGTCACACACAAAGTAACTTCGGACTAGGGGTGCAAAACGGGCAGCCTCGGGCTCGATCGGGCGCCCGATTCCAGTCTAACCCGTCTGCAGCACGTTTTTGGCGAGTCAGAAAACTTCTGGCTCGTCCAAATCGTCCCAGTTCGTGAACCGAAGCCATATTTATCTAATAAATCATTTTTTTTGTATACCTTCTGCACACACACACATATCGCAGACTAAACTTAATTATAGTAAACATGTAAGAGTCTACAAACTAAACGGCTCTATGAGAAGAAACGAACAAGTTTTAGGTATGTCTCTCAGTCATTCTATCGAACACCTTGTAAACACCTAAATCTCCAAAACTTTCCGCGCAAATCAATGGGTATATAAGCCATAGAGGAAGGAAGCTCGATCGGACGAGGGAAGAAAAGACCTAGAAACGGAGAATTTGGCATCCATAATTCGGATCATGGAACCACTGAATCATAGCAAAAGCACCATTATTTAGCCGAGACGAAAACATACCCGTCAAGGTCGGCGAGAGAGAGAGAGAGATCACTGGCGGGAGAAAGTTCCGGCAAAGGGTCAAAAGAGAGAACGATGTGGACTGCGAAGGGATAAAGAATCTGCAGAAGTCATAAAGATGAATGCATAGATAGGCACAGGAGGTGGGGTTTCTCAGAGTCAGAAGAATGTAGTAGCCGTCGGTGAGTCACATGGAGAAGAGAAAGAAGACGGCGCGGAGTGACGTCGAAGGACGCAGACAAGAGAGGCTCGGATCAGAGAAAGGAGGAGGATGCAGGCGAGGAACGAAGCTCAGATCGAGAGAGAAAAAGAAAACCGTCGTCGATCGAGAGAAAATGAAGTCAGTCAAAGACTCTAGATCGAAAAGACGTTTCAACTTGAAACCCTAAAAAAAATGGTCAGAACCGCGAGCCAGCCCGGGGGCCGACCGAGCAGGTTCACCGGACAAGTTTCTTTCAGATTCAGATTTATCCAGCCCAACTAGTGATCTCAAAATAACCGGCTCGGACCAGCTCGAACCAGCCCATGACGAG